TTGTGGACAACTTTGCAATGCTTGCAGTCAGGTATTTAACAATATTGAAATGAAAATTGTCATAAATTCCCTTTAAACTTTGTCGCCTTCTCAAAATATTTGTTAATAATGAGTATCTTTTTCTATCAACATAAATTGACGCCACTAGGTATATGATAAATCAGAGCCGGGCAAACTTTAACTTCGCAGGAGCCGCTACATGAGGTTAGTTTGAGTCACTCCATACCCTTTAATGAGTACGAGAGAGTAAGCAGTAATGAATAATTTTGTTTTGTCTTTTTCTTCTCCGTTCCACTCCCATATCAAGCCCCTTCATCCCGTAGACGAGCGAAGCCACTCTCGCAACTTAAANACAGTTGCTGCGTCCTTATTCCAGTCGGGATTGGATTTGTGTCAGTGGTTTCGACAAAACAATGCTGTAGACCCTAATTTCTTCCTCTTGGTGTAATTTACAGACGAATGCTGTTTTACGAGGAACGGAATTTTAAATTTTCACTACTGGTCTGACGCAAATCCCCATGTCGTGCATCCTCGCTATTTCCACAACGATTTTCAATAAATGTGTGGTACGGAAATTTTTGGAGATACACTATTTGAACTGTTTGTTCTATCTGCGCGTTTAAATGAGTGATGGTGCACCCACTGACGTTTCTAGATGAACAATTTTCTAGACACTGAATTGGACATACGGGCCCTGTATCTCTACCGGCGCGTAGTCCGGATCTTAATACCCTTGATTTCTTTGTTTGGGGTTGTATGAAACAGCGTGTGTTTCAAACTCCAGTGCAGAACGCCAATGATTTGCACGACCGTGTGATGATCGCAGCAAACGAAATACGTTAAATGCCGGACGTTTTTGCGCGACTCAGAGATAATTTTGGTTGCCATCTTGAAGCATGCCTTCTAGCACAGGGTTCGAATTTCAAATGATGAGTGCACATACGTATATGTATGTATGCGTGTACTTATCGGTGTTGTGTATAAATAATTTCTTCTAATGGAAGGATTGGGCTATTGGTGAACCACCCACAAAAAAAGGTAACACACCTTGGCAATATCTCAATGGTGGTGTGAAAATTTGTCTTACAATTGATAAAAATCACAATTACCCATCCAAAAAATATTTATTGAGCTATTAATGTTTAGGATAATGTTAATCTTATTTTTCTTTCGTGTTATTAATCTCATGTTGAGGTGTACTGTAAGTAGTGCTGTTATTTAATTAATTTTTATCATAATGGGCGTCTAAAAACATTTTTATGTGTAGTAGCATACTAATATTCTGTTTATATTTACAATCTCCATCGATGTAGCTGCTTAGTTGTCATTGCAACTCTTTGTATAGGTGTGTTGCCAATTAACGCCCAGGACCGGCTTCAGATTGTAACTTCTTGATTTCTCTTACAATTCTTTTTATCCCTTAATCATGCTCCTTTACTTACCATGCGATTTCCTGTTACACTTAGTTAACACCCTTCAATGTTTGCTACACATTTGAGAAACACTTTATACATATAATGATACCAAATTTATATGAATTAATTGTATGGTTTTTGCTAAAAAAGGAATGATACATTTAAGTTATTCAATATTACATTTTGCCCGCGGCTTCATTGAAGAGGCGAAACCGTTTTATTCTCCGTAAAACCTTGGAACCCCTAATCACCCCTATAGGGTAATAATTTTGTCATTGTTCAAATACATACGTAGAAGCCGTACTTAAAGGTTGTTTTTTTAAAAATGGTTAAAATACGTGTTTGTTTAATTGTTATCAAAGAGCATTTAGCCCAAACTTCAAGCAAATCCGACCAAAAACAAAATATGTAAACGTTGCAACCCCTATCCACCATTTCAGCAGTTGTTTGCTTTTTAGATACCGAAATATGTGTTTTTCATCTTCTTTGTACGATTGATTACGATAAGATTTTTGACGTATGGGAAGTTAAGGTACTTGTTCTAAATTTGTTGCATCTATCCGTGTCTCGTGTTTTGCCGTGGCTACTATCACGTTCCGTTTATTATTCTCCTGGACTTTCCCCTTCCCCTGCAAATTTGAAGATTTCCTTCTGTATCCCATCTATACCTGCCGCCTTATTCCTAAATTTTTTAATGCTAAATCAAACTTCTGTCTTTATGGGGCATCCTAGCTCACTTATCTCCATACCATATTCATTCTCTAGTACATATCCTAACTCTTGTCCTGTGTCCTTGTCTTCTAAATATTTTTTCAACCTACGTGCTTTTCCCCATTTTCTATTAAAATTACTTCTGCTTCATTTCATTTATTATTACTACTGTATTCTATTTATTTAAAGTCAGGGACATCCGAATGGGGGACTTTACATTACAATATGCAATTACTATTTTAACATACAATGTAGAAATCTTCCCGAAGTGAGTTAGTTTTAATAAGAAATATTCTCAATTTTTACCCACTACACACTACCTCAAATTATTCTGAATATTTTTTCAACCTACGTGCTTTTCCCCATTTTCTATTAAAATTACTTCTGCTTCATTTCATTTATTATTACTACTGTATTCTATTTATTTAAAGTCAGGGACATCCGAATGGGGGACTTTACATTACAATATGCAATTACTATTTTAACATACAATGTAGAAATCTTCCCGAAGTGAGTTAGTTTTAATAAGAAATATTCTCAATTTTTACCCACTACACACTACCTCAAATTAATGAGGAAAAATTGTTGCTGTTGTCACACCCCCGCCGGAAATCGAACCCGGGACCTTTGGCTTTACGCACCAATGTTCTGACCACTAAACTACGAGAGGTGACAACAACAACCACGACCAACCGACCTACAAGGTTAACGATCCGTCGAACTAATGTAACTATATACTGAATATACTATGATTAAACATACATATAATTTAGATATCTTTTAGAAGTGAGTTAGTTTAATATGAAATATTATTCTGAAAATTCATTTCTGAATTTTTTACCCACTACACGCTACCTCAAATTAATGAGGGAAAAATTGTTGCTGTTGTCACACCCCCGTCGGGAATNAAAATTGAAGTCATACACGGTAGATTTAAAAATTAATACTGAACTAAAATGTACAATTAAGAGTGAATTGGAACTTATCAAAATTGAGTTTCGAATTTGAAATGAACTTGAATTAAAACTTCAGTAATAAAATTTAAGAAACACAGCCAAGAGGAATTAGAAATATTTGTGTATAATAAAGAAGATGCAGGAGACCAACAAGAAGAAATTGGAAATACTCAACAATCTCTTGCAATTTAAAAACTCAGTAGTTTCGTTAGAAAAAAAATGAAAGTACTTACAAATACAAATGTGTAAAAATATAACTTTTATTATATACTGTATGTCAATTTAAGTACATATAAATAATTTCAGGTTTGTATCCCAATATAACGGCGATAAGGAAAATTAAACAAACACCACTATTTGTAAGAAAACACACATCATCATCATCACAACGGCGCCAGTCCTAAGACTGGTTGGACACGTACCTCCACTCTTTCCTATCCTGAGCTAAACATTTCCCTAAAACTGGAAGAACCCACATCCTTAATTATTTGCGAACAGCAATCTCATCTAGATCTACCTCTACCCATACTAACTCCTGTTTCTGCCTCTAATATGTCTCTGTCGAAACCTTCATGCCTGAGAAGGTGTCCTACCAACCTATCTCGCCTATTTTGTATTGACTTCCATAGAGTCCTCTGTTCTCCTATTCTTTCTAATACCTTTTCATTTCTAACCTTGTCTACCCACGTTATCCTCATCATTTGCCTATAACACCACATTTCGAAGGCTTCTAACGTTTTCTACAGTACTGATCTGTCAATACCGCTTCCATTTTATTTAATAATGTACCATCCACTAAGTCGTTCAACATTTATTTATGTAATGGTAGGAATATCCGTAATTTTAAACATAATATAAGCTTCGCCTTTGAATAAATACCATATATAATTTACATATAAAAGAGTTAAATCAGTAGTAGTTTAATCCATTGTCGCGGGGTTCAAAAATTACGTACTATTTATTGTAATTCTATTTATTGTAAAATAATTGCCATTCATCTACCTTTTTGTTTCTTATTAGGTTTATAAAAATATTCTTACAGATTCAGTGGACTACAAGTTGTACGAGGGCATTAATGCATTGTAAAATTATGGAAAGTAAGAAACCAATGAAAAGATTAAGAAAGAAGCAAAATCAAGTTTTAGATAAATTGTCTGAAATGAGCAGAAAAGATCTCAATAGACTTTCCAGATTAAAAGTGAATGCTCTCATTACTATTGAAATCCATTGCAGAGATGTTATCGATAAAATGTACAAAGCAAGTAAGTTATGTTTCCCATCCAATAATCGACTAAGGATTAAGGCCAATTCGTAAAAAAATAATTTAGAATTTTGCTTTAATTGAAGTCAAATGCAATTACGCCTACTCATGTATCAGAAAGTTCTTAAACAGTAGACAGTGACTCATATGCATTGTAGGGAGCGTAAAGATAAAGAAAAATAAAAAAGATAAAAAACTACAAGTTGTCCGTTGCAGACTTCAAAATGTCAATAATTTCTTTGAGCAGGCATCTTTTACCAGTATTGTTAGAATAGTCGATTCTAAACTTTCTGATGAAAAAAACTGTCCACTGGCACCGTTGAAAATTTATATAAGTATTAAAGTATGTAGAATCCCATAAGTTCAAAATTTCAAGGAATAGGCATGTTCTCAGAAGATGGAGAATATTTAGACTTTCTAAAGCCCGTCAATATGGAAGGGCCAGTAGAAATTTGGCTTTGTGAGATTGAGACATCAATGAGAGCCTGCTTGAAGAATGAATTTAAACCCTGTCGTGCAGCCCTAAAGAAAATGTTAAACAAGCGAGATAAATGGCTTATGGAAAATTGTGGACAACTTTGCAATGCTTGCAGTCAGGTATTTAACAATATTGAAATGAAAATTGTCATAAATTCCCTTTAAACTTTGTCGCCTTCTCAAAGTATTGACGTGATAACGTCTTATAATTCGATGGAGCCGGCTGCACGCACAAAAAACATGACTCATGCGGCGTTACCTCGCTCTGAGGCGTTCCATTTAAGGCTTGAAGTGCAAGCGAGAGCGCGGAACGAGCGACAAAGAGGCACAATCGACCTCCGCGTTCGGCAGCTTTCGACATCTGTCTCTCTCCTACTTGAGTGAGCGATGCGTCCGCGTGGACAGCTGCTATACAATAATACATTTNAATACCACTTCTTCTGGTTGTTTAATTTGAGCAATTTTTCTACCGAATTGTTCTTTATTGTTCTCATAGCAAACCACACATCGATTTTTCTAGTTCTCTTACAAATTATCCAGACTATTTGTTTCTTCGGCAAGCTGTTCTCGAAATTCAATTATGGGGAGATCTTGTTCTGCGAAACTAAAAATGCGTTGACGAATGTGGAACATAAGACCAGTTCAATTGCTAATTTTCGATACCATTTAGAAGTCGACCTTAACGTCAACCTCATCTCAGGCTAGTCTAAAATATTCATACGTTCAGACACAGATTAGCCTGATAAATAAGAGTTTTGACTGAAGTACCAACATCAATTATCTTCTCTCAGCTGATCTCGTGCTTATGCACTACAGCAACACTATAAAGAAAATGGAGAGCAGAACCCGGGTTCAATCACAAATTATAGAAATACTCCATACTGGGTCTAAAAGGCTGCTCATCAGTACGGTTTAAGTTTAAACAATTGCCTAGCATTCATATCGAGAGGACATTGGTTCGATTCCGGGTCAGTCTGCCCTGGTCCAATTATTTCTGTGGATTCCCTAGATCACTTAGGCGAATGCTGGGTCAGTAATATTCCACAGATAATCATTCTCTCTCTTCTGTCTCCATTACGTCCGCCTCATCTTTTTCACCCACCATGGGTAGCTAGTGAGAATGAAATACCGGAAAGGTTTTTTTAGTTTTTGTTTTCACTTTGAAAGGATTCTTCTGGAACATTAGAGTGGAATTATGAGAGAGTTCTTTATAGATATATTTTTTTAAGTCTGTTAAAAAAATCATTTTGGGAATAAGACCTTTCTTTTCCTTACTTTATCCATTTTTAAATTCACAAACTGACCTTTTAAGTGAGCATAATGTACTCAACTATTATTATAGTACATTGGTTTATATAAAATACTGCTCATACCTAACATAACTAATGGTAGTGTGAGTCTTTTAATTTTTTATTGAAGTTATGGTTTTCGGATACCAAATAATTAGCATAATTGGAATTTTGCTTCTTATTTTCAAAACATTTAAAGGGCAATTCAATTTGTAGGTAAATTATTATTCGAAGATTTCTGATTTACTTTTATTATGTTTACTATGATTGCCTAATTTGTTTGTATATTTAAAAATTATATTTTTTTAAATAGATGATGCTGGGTTAACTTATTTACCTTTGAATGTTAAATTAAAATTATTTTTGTTTTTTTATTTGTACAAAGGATAAACAAAACGAATTGCAGGTTTGTGTAATGTATTATTGATTACGATATTTATTAAATCTACATATGTCTATGGCAACTATTGTTATATATTGTTTGTTTAATAATTTAATCAAT